CAATGGTATAAAAGATGGGAAGAGGGGGTTCGTTGGGGATTTATTCGTGATTATTGCTAGCTATATGGAGGTGAGCATCACGAGCAACTTGCGACGTAAGCTAATGTCGCTTAGATCAGAATTAAACCTCTATTCAAGCGCATCTTTTACCGCAAGAAGGAGAGGAAAGAGGGTAGCAAGGAGGGTTGGGAGAGACGGCGTGGCTTGCCTACATCCCACCCTCTCTCAAGTGGCACTACTACAACTTAGCACGACAGTTCGGGTCGTACGTATTATACGAAAAGGATGAAACCGCATTACACGCGACGCTCCTACTATGCACACGACTACGACCGGTTCAACGACGACACCATAGTGTACACGTACGCTGGTGGAACGAGTCATGGAGGGGGCTGTTTAGACGGAGGCTTGGACTGTAGTGGGGGTGGTGGATGTGATTCGGGCGGTGGATTCGATGGGGGAGGAGGGGGAGACGGCGGAGGAGGAGGAGGGTGCGATGGTGGATAACGGTCCTACGAGCATGCCCTTCCCGATAGCTTAAACCCCGAACATACCAATATCACCTTTCTAACCCGCACTCACCTCCCTAACTTCCTTCGCCCAAGCCCGTGACACGGGCTCAACCTGTACATGTTTGCCACCCCATTATACACAAGCCATATGAAAAGAGAGAAAACGTATTGTAGTACGTGGTAAGAGCTGCGGCGAGGGCTCACTCTTTCACTCAGCCCGTCTGACTCGCTCGTTTATCCCGTTCTCTCGGGTGTAAGCACAGTGTTTGCCTCTTTGACTGTCAGTAGTAGGATAGCAACAGTACCTCCATTCGGAAACTCACACCCGCAACACACGCATATACGTTTTATTGTAACTACACGTTGACAGCTGGTTTACTTGTTTACTGGTTCCCATTCTAGAGGATTCGCCTGGACTGCCCCAGCGCATTTCCAGCTCAGCTCACCGCAACGCATTACACTTTTTTTTCATGAACAAGAGGAGCGCGAAGGATACCAACCAAATGGTGGATTAACTGACACCGTAAAGCGATGCTAAAAAGTAGAGAGTGCGGTAGCGATGAGAATCTGCCTGTTAATTGAACCGGAATCTCATTGCTATCGGGAAGGGCATGCTCGTAGGACCGTTA